ATTCTGGGGTGCCTGTGGAAGAAATGTGCAGGCCTGAAATAAAAAGGCGCATCCAACGCAGAGGTGGAATCAAGCATCTGGACTGTGATTTACTCAGCTTCCTTGTCTGAGTTCAAGCCCTGAACATGTCTAGTCTGATGAACAGAATGAATGAGAGCAAATTGACTTTCATACTCCAGCAGGGGAGGGGAGCCATGCAAGTGCGGATCCATCACCCGCCATGGTCGTCCTGACAGCATTCATCCACCAGACGCAACTTCTGTGTGGGCAATGCCAGGGAAATTTATTTCTCTGAGTGAGTTTACTGCCTACATTCAGGGTGTCTCATCTTTCTGGCAATCAGGATAAATTGTGTCTCCGTAATAACACTGTAGCAAGCTATTCTTTACCGCGAGGATTCGGTAATGACTGTGTCTTACATTTGCATTCATTCTGACAAGATTTACTGGTGCTTGCTGATCTGTAAATTTCAAAATGGCAAACAGCATCAAAGGTCAACACAGTGATAATATTAATAGCTTTAGGAAAAGGTTGAGAGGCTCTGAAATTCCAGATGATACACTGGGTAAGAGAGAAATCCACTGAAAAACACCTGTCCTCACTCTTGCTATTGCTTTTCCCTCTTTATAGGGCAGCTATAGCACCCTAGCAAATGAATCAAAAGGTCAATGATGGGGAATTTTGTTGAGTCACAGGTAATGATTTTCCAGAATCCATACCTCATAAAAAAGGACCAGAAAAATCTGGTAAAAGCTATAGGTTTTTCTATATCAAGATTTGGGCTAAGCACCTGGTTTGTGTGTGTGTGTGTGTGTATGTGTTTGTGTGTGGTATATGTGTGTGTACTTGTTTATATCTCTGCATGTGTATATGTGTGTACATATGACCGTGTATGTACCTGCATATGGAAGCCAGAGGTTGACATATGATGACTTCCTTAATCATCCTCTACCTTACTTTCTGAGAAGAGCCTCTTACTCAAGTTGGAGCTCGTTTATTCAGCTAGGCTGTCAGGCAGGCTAATCATCTCCAAGGGTGCTCCTGTTCCTGCCTCCCTAGTGCTGGGGCTATAAACATGTCTAGCCTTTTAGGAATATGTGTTGAGGGTTAGTTACCATGCACTAACAACACTCACCTTAATGTTGTCTCCATTAACTGGAAAACTAAACCAAGAAAACATATTTCATTATACAGATAGTCACTTTGTCTCTTCAGGTTTTTGTAGGGGAAACATGTTTTATGGAAGACTGGACCTTTCCTTACGATTCCAAATAACACAGAAGCTTCTCGATGCTGACACCTGCTAGCACAGTTTGATTTTTTCACATCAAAATACCCTAGACTGGGTAATTTATAGATGGAAAAGATTGCTTTATGGTCTAGAGGCTGAGAGTCCAAGATTAGACAGTCATATCTAGCAAGACACGCAGTGTGGCCTAATTCATCACAAAAACAAACAAACAAGGCATGCTGATGGGTAGAAGTATTTCCTAGTTAACCTCATCTCAAGAGAGAAGCAGATCTTCATCCTGTGGACCTAAAGGTCCAGTTGAAGTACACCAACTATAAGAACAAGCCAAATGTTTGAGACATTATAAGAATGATCACTCAAAGGGCAATAAATTCCAGCCACCTGCAATTAGCCCTCCCCTAAATAACATCAGAAGGATCTTCGCTTTTATAGGAAGAAGAAGGAGAAGGTGAAGGAGGAAGTTGAGGAGAGTTATAAGTATTATTTCTCTGGAGAAAGAATACAGGACACTGATTGGTAGCTGGTTGCTTTAAAATTATTGAGTAGGTTGTCTCTATTAACCAAAACTGGATCCATCCAAACTTACATATCAGGTTGTCTTTGAACCACGGAACATCAGGTGTCACTTTCCAGAAAGCTGCGATTAGAGACATACAACCCCTTTCTCCAGCCAGTTTAGATATCTTGAGGACCAAAGAAGAATGTACGTAGCACTAAATCTGTGGTATAGGAAGAGGAACAAGTGAAGTTGAGCTACAGCTAAATATAAGGAATGAAATATGCAGTGAATTATAAATTGTGCTAAGCAATCTGGTATACAGCCCTGATACCTTGCTCTCATTGAGACATACTACACATACATATGGTTTCTCTCTTTATTTTGTTAATTCAAGTTTTCTAAACCTTCTGTTGACCTGAGATAATTTTTTGCATTATAACACTTTCCTAGACTTAGAAATATTCATAGCCTTTGTTCATTAGATTCCAAAGGTGATTTGGCCCCAATGAGAAATTAATTCAAATGTCCATGGCTAGATTCTTTTTGTTGTTTGGTGGTCTTGTAACTACTTATTTGCTTAGTTTCATCATGCTCTGAGTTTTCCAGGATGAATTCTAAACTAGCCCTAATATGGCTATTATACTGGTTGTATTCTTTTGTTTCTGAGGATAGAATTTCCTGAATGGGGTCTGAGCCAAGGCAAAGCTTACTTTGCGCTGAAGGGCCATGCCAGCTGTGCAGTAACATCGTTCAATATTCTTTCTGGCTAAAATGGATCATCATTTTCTTTTTGAATCATTTCCCATCTGGTGAGACATGAGCCTTGGAGACATAGACAGGGAATGAAAACAGACAAACGTATCTGTTTATTTAGACATTTTAAACACATGCTTGTAGCTGCTATATGCCCGGTGTCATAAAGAATGGAGAAATTGTACGGCACAGTCACTGTGGGGAAACGAATTTTTCTCTCTTTCAAGCAAGTTCCCCTGTTGTAGAATAAATTTGTGTTTCATTCTTTAACCTCTTCTCACAGCCATGTCCTTTCTTATGTAAATGGAAGGTTTTTAACTCTTGGCTGTGTATACTGTTCCACCTGTAGCTTAGTTTGGTTTTATGCTTTGCTTTGGCTAATGGATAGCAGACTCAGACAGAATAAAGGCCTGAAACGTGTTTGCTTTCTTGTGTTTTCCATTTTTCTTTCTGTGACAAGTCTTATCCTTTCAGTCTAGACAAGGGAATGAACATTCTGGACATTGATCTTTGAAGCCCAACTTGCAAAAGGTAGGGTATGCAGCATGAAGCAGTCACCCAATACAGGTCAGGTTACTTCCTTTCTGGGACCAGAAGCCATATGAAGTACAAAGAATGGTGGTTATTTGAAGGTAATTCTTCTGAAATGGGTGTGACTTTTTGGTTGCTACTAGAATTTGGTAGGTTGAAAGCAGAGACTATGCAGTCTCTCACTACTTTGAGTTACTTTGAGTTATTTGACCTCAAAGTGCTGATTGTGCTGATGTGAGGAAAACCTCTTTAAGACAATAGCTACCACCTTTCACTGCTACTACTTCCTTCCTCTAGTCCCACCTTCTACTGATTGGTTGTGGTTTTCTGTAGCGGTTCCATCTGCTACAAGGAGGCCTTTCCTTGATGAGAGGTGAAGGCTACACTGTCTGTGGACATAAAAATAAATGTTTATAGGTTGTTATTAGGGATTATACTGATCCCAGTGAACTGGTGTTGTAAATTATTCTCCAATAACCATGACTTCACCAGCAATATATTGTTAGTACCTAACAATGGTACCAGGCTTGATATTTGTCTTGTTGAGTTTTTTTTTAAACTTTTTATTGACTCCGGATTTCATATCTACTTCCTGATCCCACTCATCTCACTGTCTCCTGGCTTCCAGCCTCTGCCCTTGCACCCTCTTCCACAAAGACATAATCTAAAAGTAAAACCAAACCAAACCAAAACCAAAAAAACCAAAACCAAAACAAAAGCAGCAAGTCAGCCAAACAAACAAAAAACAAATAAAAACCAGTAAGCCACACATTATACCCTTTATTCCATACATCTTTACTTGTAGGTGTTCATTGTAATGAGTCATTGGTCTGATTTGAAGCCTCTGGTTTCTGCTACACTGTCAATACTGGGCCCTCACTGGGACTCTTGGGTATCCTATTGTTGCCTTGTGTCATGGAGATCCTGCAGGACTGGTGTTATTTTTTTATGCTCCAAGCAGTTCATAGATGAGGTGGGTAGCTGGGTGGTTAGCCTTAAAGCTTTCCCTGATCACCCCCACCTGGGCTAGCTCACCCATTGCAACAGACAGCAAGGACTGGAGCCTGTTGTCCTACTCTCACACCCTGGGGTCCAGCTCACCCACACTCACACCACCAGGGTCAGCTCTACTGTTCTGCCCAGGAGAGGTACAGGCCTCACTCTCCAGATTGCTGCATTTAGAGAGAGGGAGGGCCTGCTCTTCCATTCTCACGCCCCTGAGGTGGTTCTCCTGCTCATTTCAGGTGACAAGGGGTAGGAGGGGGAAGGCATTTTTTCCCTTACCCTTGCCACTCCATGGCATGTGAGGGAGAGGGAGGGCGGGGCAGATCTCCTGCTCTCAGGCCCACAGGCCTGTCTCATCTGTGCCGCTGTTAACAGGGCCAGCTCTACTTGCTGCCTGTGCTAGGTACAGAGCCCACTCTCCCGAGTACTGCTGCTGGTGAGGGGCAGGATCAGCTCTCCCATTCTCAAGACTCTGGGGCCAGCATTTCCAGCCTACAGTAGGTGGTGAGGCAAGGTGAGAGTCAAGGCTTATCTCTCACTGGCCCCTGTCACACGCCAGACCACGGGGCTAATTCTCGCACTCTCATGCTTGTAGGCCTTGTTCACCCGCACCCCTATCAGCAGGGACAGCTCTGCTGTGCTGCTCTGGGGAGGTGCAGGACCTGCTCTCTCATGTGCTGCGGTTGGTGAAGGGCAGGGCCATCCATGTGCAGCCCTATCTTCACTGCTTTCAGTGATAACAGGGGCCACGGATACCAACACAGACCACTGCTGTGGCTGGGCCACGGACCCAGACATTGTCCCTGGTAGCAGCCCAGGCCCAGACAAGACCAAGGCCTTGGGTGACAGGGCAGGCTACTCAGATTTGCATGGTCCTGGCAGAGTTTCAAACTTTGGACACTAACCTGGCCCTTAGTGGTAGCCTAGGTCCTTGACAGCCATGTGATTCTTAGTGGCACTATGGTTCATGGGTATCAATACAGACCACAGTTGGACCATGGACCAGATATGGTCCTTGGCAGCAGCCTAGGCTTGGATGTCACCATGGCCCTAGTTGGCAGAGCAGGTCCACTTATATCAGGATGTCCAGTGAACCCTGACATGGCCCCAGGTTTGGACCCAAATCCTGGGCATCCACAGCCTTTGATGGCAGCAGGAGCCTCAGACATTAGTGCAGGTCCTGGTTATGGTAGGGTTACAGGTTGAGCTGGTCTTAAGTCCAGTAAGAAAATAGTTGGTTACCACCAAGTATGAATGCCACTAATGTACCAGTTAGTTATCTTGCCATGCTGGTTGCTGATATGGTTCATAGGCATCATAGCTGAGTAAGACTTTTGGTTACCTCCTTCTTTTGAAAGTTTGCATGACATCTTCTGGTACCATAAAAGCTAGTCCGCAGGTAGGGCTGTTCAGATTAGTTCCAGTTCAGGGGTCTCTGGACCCTGATGGGGGAAGTTCTTCTGTGTATATGTTTGTCCTATTGGTTGATAAATAAAGCACTATTGGCCAATAGGGAAGCAAGATATGTGGGACTAGGAGAAGTGGAGGATTCTGGGAAACAGAGGCACAGTCAGTCACCATTTAGGACTTGAGAGAAGTTAGAAGTCCGTATCCTTTCTCTAGTAAGAGAAGACCACATAGAAATACTCAGATTAGCAGTTATAGGTTAATAATTAAGTTAGAGCTAGCTAACAAGAAACCAAGCAAATGGCCAACAGCTTCATAATTAATACAGCATCCTGTGTGCTCATTTGGAACTGACATGGCTCTGGGACCAGGCTGGGAGAGAATGCATGTTATAGGGTCCTGTTTCTGAAGCACATGGTATTTTCAGAAACAGGGCCTTGCCTTCAGCTTCTGGTGGTTAACCAAGGATGACAGCTAAAGAAGGCTTGCTAAGACTTAAGACTTTTGAATTTTTTTCCTGAGTATTAATGAGTCTTTTAGAATTGCCCGAGTCTTAGCAAGCCTTTTTAGAACTTCCTGAATCTTACCATATATGCCATCCTAGAGCCTTCATCATCCAGTGGCTGATGGAAGAAGAGGCAGACACCCCCAGCTAAACATTGAACTGAACTCCTGGAACCCAGTTGCAGAGAGGGAGGAATGATGAGCAAAGGAGTCAAGACCTGGCTGGTGAAACCCAGAGACAGCTGACCTGAACAAGGGGGAGCTCATGGATCCCAGACTTGTGACTGAGAGGCCAGCATGGGACTGATCCAGAACCACTGAATGTGGGTGTCAGTGAGTAGGCCTCGGCAATCTATGGGGCCTTGGAGAGTAGATCAGTATTTAGCCCTGGCGTACAAATGGACTTTGGGAGCCCATTCCACACAGAAGGATGCTCTCTCAGCCTGGACACATGGGGAAAGACCTAGCTCTGTCAGGGATGATATGACAGACTTTGAAGATTCCCCATGGAGAGCCTCACCCCCATGGGGTGGGGGGTTCGGGGGATTGGTAGGGGGCCAGGGGAGGAGGGGAGGGTGAGGGAGCTGGGATTGACATGTGAAGCAAGCTCGTTTCTAATTTAAATAAAATAATGAAAAAAAGAACTTCCTGAGTCTTATTGAACTTCAGAGGAACTTGTTATAGAACAGCATGAGGGTATGGTCTGTGATCTCTTGTGGTTTTCTCATCAAAATAAATAGACCTAGGTAGGATATGTGTTCTTAGAGTTAAACTCAGTCATCTCCTGATCTTTCTTCTCTAGGATATCTTTTGTCTTTCTTGCTTACTCATGCTCTTGTCGTTAGAAGTTCCTAAACGTGCTGCCAGGACCCACATTTTAGGTTCTGTTTTGTTTCTTGGAGCTCTTTCAGTCATAAATAATACAGTAGTACCTTGGTCTTCATTCTCATGTCTTCCTTAATGGATAGGGAACACTGATGAATACCACAGGATAGAAAGGGGGTTGACTATTTGCTATTGGCTCTCAGTCTCAGGTGGCAATACCATTTGTTAGCACAGAAACTTCTTTCAGAGTTCTGTAGAAGCTCCCAGCTATTGAATTCTCTGTGAAAATGCTTATTTCTATAGATTTTCAAAGAAGGAAGCATGGAAACCATTGTGAAAAATATTCATGGAGAAAATGGGTAACTGTTAATGATTTGTTGAACACCTTTCAGTAAGGACCCTTGACTTGGAGCATTCCACACCTAGCCTCAATATTGTTTCCCCAAGCTTATTTATTCTTGTTTTACTGTTTCTTCCACTCACTAAACAAAAGGCATACAGTAAACTAACAAAGATATTAGCCAAGAGTGGATATCTAAACCCTGAAAATTGCCAGCTGATGATATTGGGTAGGATTTGAATAACGAATTCAGATCTCTGCAAAGCTAACAATACCTCAGTGTATCACCTGTACCAATGAAGTTTTTATTTGACTTCCATTTACAGTTATTCATTGGAATACTACCTATAGGATTTGTGTATAATATACTATACATGTAACCTATTAATATCTATTTCATTTGCAATAATGACACCTTTAGCAGCAGACATGAATGTGCACCTATAATAAGTAGAGAGCTATGAGGAAGAAATGGCAGATCCTGTGCAGTATTCCTTCTGACTCCAGTCCTGAATAATTTTCAGATATTCATTATCTGAAATGTTTTTTCCTAAAGAAAAATTCAAACTGTTTTGAGAGATTGGAAACAAAGGTAAAAGTGTCTAGAAGTGAAAGTATATTGGACTTCTGACCGTTTCCTCTCTGGCAGTCCTAAGCCCAGCTCCCTTTCAGCTGTGTGCTGGTTCCAACTCCTTAAATTTCCTTTTCAAGTATATGTATTTATGGCTTTGCTTTTGCATAATAGAATACTTCACTCTGTGTGAATTTGATGTGTCTCCATTAAATATATGATGAACCCAGCTTCTCTCCATTTTCCACTTGAATATGTGTCACACGAGCCCAGGAACAATACACTTAGGTTGCGTTAATGGGGACAGGTTTTAGTGAAAGCCATCCTTGATTTTAGACCATCCAGCACTCTTCTTGAAAAGGGGAGTGAGTTTGATATTCAAAACTTAATTAATTGGAAACATTCTTAATCAGCAGATTTTTCACCAGTCTAGTCTATCACAGAGTAGAAATGAAAATTGTATGCTGCCCAGAGCACAGGTGCCACTACCTTATTGAGCATTGTAGCAGACTGTAACAATGGCATGATTACAGGAGCTCAGTAATGAGGCGTTTTCTAACTTAGAGGCCAAGAAATGCATTGAAGTTCATTCAGATAGGTACATGTTGAGTTATATTGTTAGGGGAAACCTTTCTACTCTTTCTTTAAAGAGGAAACAGCAGTTCCATGGTCCTCTTTTCGTTTTGTGTTGCTTCAGTTTAAGTGACCACAGTTGAATCTCCTGCTAATTTTTGTCCAAACTTATTTTGCTATTAAAATAAATGATGCCATTTTGGAATAATTTGTTCAGCTACTGTGGTTTTAAGGTTTCCATTTTTGTTCACTGAACAAATTCTTAATTATCTCAGGGCAATGGAAATGCTTCACAAATCTTTGTGCAGGCAAAGTTATTTCTGTGAATAATGTACGAACTAACCTCTTGGGAGCCTATCTGTATTTGAAAGGGTTACTAATGGGCTCCGTCTTTCCCTTGCAATATGCTGCTTTATCATCTACAGCGGCCCTCCAGGAGCTGTGTCTAATCCCTCAGCCCGGCCTCACATCATAGCACACAGTTTTCAGCTGCCTCAAATCCCAGGCTGGGAACACTCTTCTCTTCCTCTCCCCACAGTTTATGGTATTTTGTTTTTTGTGGTTTCAGTACTTCTAGTTATTTAATTGAGCTGAAGTCATGATATATTTTTTATTACAACTTTTCCATAACTTTTTCCTTTGAAGATACACATTTATGTTTTTTTTGTAATATTTTTACTTCTCAGTTCCACACATAGATTATCATCATTTCTTTTAATAATTAAGTTATTGGTGATGGTCTCAGAACCATTGGGAAGCACTGAATGTTTTTACGACTGTTTCTTCCATTGTTGCTCATTACCACCCATCTTAGTAACAGATCTGCCACTTCTTTTTGCCTTAGTGGATGCTACTTCAGATCAGAGAGTGCTTGTCTCTGCAAAGAGCAGCTATCTTTTATCTCCTTGTTTGTGCTCGGATTTCGATTTGTGGAAGGAGAGAAAGCCAGGTTAATTACATTTTACTCTTTTTTTTTTCTATTTCAGTTCTTGACAGGCATTTTCAAATAGGCTATGGAGTGACACCTTCATTAGATACACTTACAAAAGAAGTTAAATAGCACTGTAATTTTTCGATTTTTTTTTCTCGTATTCCCAATCCATGTAAAGGGCTAGTTTAGACATATGTTTTAAGCAAGTTCTAACTTTTTTTTTCTGAACTACAACTCTATGCCTTGCTTTAATTTTTTAACATAATTTCACAGAGTTCTATAGCTGCCAACTATTTTGTTTATTTTACTTCTAATTAGATATATTAACACTAGGGCATGATGCGAGGATTCAGGCATTATGCTGGTCTGCTCCTTGTCACCCGGCACAATGCACTCAGACAATACCCTGGTCAGCCCAGGATCCATGGCTACATAGTCTGCAGGAAGGTGCAAAAGACCCTTTAAAAGAAAAACTCCTGCCCACATCTGCTCTCTTTTTCACTGTTCCCCTGAAGGGGAAGACCGGACTTTCCCTGTCTCTCTCTTCTCTTATGTCCTCTCTCTGTTTCTGTGTCTCTTTCCTCCCCGCCCCTTCCCTTTCTAATAAAACTTCTCACTTAAGCTTTGTCTGCCTGGCATGTTTGTCCCTTGCCCACCATGCAATCCGCCAAGGTCCCCCTCTTGCCTCATTATAACACATGACACTGCCAAGAGCTTCAGATTTCTGTCTTCCAAAGGGAAATTCTTGTCTCAGAAGTGGCTGTAGCAGATAAAATGACTCCATTTTGACCTAAGCAACCAGACTAGAGGCTGACCCAGCCAACAACTTGAGTCTGTTAAAACATTTCCGGAATTTCAGGAATGCAGAAGACCCTGGACTAGGTCACTAGGGGAAGTCTGTAGGAATGAATTGAGCATTTTACCTTTAAAACCCTTTAATCCCATACCTTTAACCCCAGCTCTGGGAGGGAGGCCGAGGCAGGCAGAATGAGTTCCAGGAATACCAGATCTACACAGAGAAACTTTGTCTCCAGAAAT